GCCACCTATTTTATTTAGAAGGCTTAATATTTGGAAGTAGTATGGGTTTTAAACTTGGCTTGAACAGCACTTCAGTGGCTACGGTGAATTATTCATTTCATGCAACCCAATGACTGTCTGCCACACTGGACACTGCTAGTTTGTTCTCCCCTTTGCTCTCCAAGTAAATTCACTGCTACCCTAGACTTCCCAAACATGAAGTCCATGTGTACCTGAGAATAGAAGAGGATAATCATGCAGGTTAACTTCAGGCATTGAACTAAGGTACAGTAGTCTCCTGCTTGTCTTTTCATCTAGGGGAGAGGGAGGCCACTCCAGAGACTGATGTATAGCATTTAGTCAGATGTTTCCAATCATCCTCTGGATAAGCCCCTCCTTCCATTAATTTCATCAAGAGCCAACATCTATGCTCCGAGATAATGGCAAGCAATGTGGTCAGTGTCTGTATCATGCTGTCATCCGAGAAACATCGCAGTCTACAGTCAAGCCGTTCTTATTCTGAAGCTTTGTAACTGCATGCAGCTTATATACCTATAAAGTGAGTTGCCAGCAGCGGTATCGCCTCTGCTGGCTTAGTGCTGTGGAGGTCTGATTTTCTGTAGTTCCCCTATTACCTCATGGTCTTGGTTGGGCAAGAAGGGCCTAAGTCACGCAGTCAGTGGAGCATATGTGGACAGGCTGTAAAAAGGATCAATGTAAGTTTGTTCTAACTGGATAAAATGCAGCACAGCATATGTCCCAATGCTGGATTTGGAGGATAACTGAGTGATTTTCATAGCCAACTCATCATTAATTACTGTGAAAGCAATGCTGACCCATTTAATTTATTGTCTTTTTGTTTTCTACTGTAAAGTACTGGAACAAGCAGAGCCCTCACCAGAGCTTGGTAAAACACATAATAGAAGATTATTTCAGGGGTGGAAGGAACATCTAAAACTTCAGAATTGTTCCCAAAAAGGGCACTTAGCCTGAAATGCCACTCTCATCTCCCTATCACTATAATTTTCTGTCTCTGTATTAGATTTATGACTCAATATCCCGAGCCTTCCCTCGTCGCTTTGTTCTCCCACTGAATGTGAATTCAGACACACCTGTGGGGAAGAATCTGAACCCACTGTCTTATACATTGGCAAGGGCTGTGAAAGATGCAGATGGCAAGGTATGTATTAAAGACTTACATAACTGCATTTATGGCTGTGGTAAGACTGCCTGCAACAGTTATCATCCTGTGCTATTATCTTCTCAGATCTTGTCCACCAGGCAAGCAGTCAAGGTTTGGTTATTACTAAGATGGGACCTAGTGTTTGTACTTAGTACAAAGAGTACCACATTGCCTAAAATGAGAAAGCAAAGACAGATTGTAACTTACCAAAGATGCCCAAGTGGATTATGAGCCTTTACAATACTTGGCCAAACTTCAGCTTCTTCATTGATAAAATCCTCCATGCTTTCAGAACTGCTCTTTGCTTCCAGCTTTGAACAGCCCTACAGTGACATTCAGCGGTGTACTGAACATATGTGTTGTCCACTATGACTGGAGTCATCTCTGTGTGTACTTTGTACATCAGATTTCTGAGTGCTGAATCTGGGATTTTCTGAGCTAGCAGTGCAGGAATATATGTACTTTCTCCTGTTTTTCACATTAGACTGATCCTTGAAGTTTCCAAGGTCTGTGATGATGAGTTAGTTCTTTGGGTGAAACAGATAAGGGAGATGGAATTGGTGCTTCCACCTGCCTCAGTGCAATGTCAGGCTCGTCTTTAAACATTTATTCTCCACAATGGTGGTGCTGTGGGTTGGTGCCACCAGTCAGGTCTTCTGCCCAGTCAAAGCTAAACTGACACTCCTGTAATGCATACTTCTTCTAGGTCTGGTGCACACATGAAAATCTGCACCCTGAGGGCTTTGAAAAAGTTGGGGGATTGGAGTTCCCCCAGATCAACTACTCTCAGTACAATGGTAGGAGGTACCGTTACTTCTATGGATGTGGTTTTCGGCATTTGGTTGGTGATTCCTTGATCAAGGTTGATGTGGAGACCAAGAATTTCAAGGTGAGGTGAAGTGAGATTATCTTTTTTCAGCAATGGTAGTCATTCCACCGGACTAGGCTTGCACATATGTTATTTACTAGGCAATTTACTCTTTAGGGGTCGTCTTTCAAATGGATCTGAGATGAGATTCCTAATTTCATCTCTCACCTAGCACCTTATGAATGTGGTACACTTACCAAACAGGAGAGTATATCACTCCAGGTGCCTCGATAGATGATGGAACAGAAAGGGTTGGATACAGTACACATGTGTTTTCCAGGCCAAACAATAGTAATCTTTTACCAGACAGTACAGAACATACCCAAGTGGCATAGGCAGTTAGAGATGAACTGCCAAAGTATTTATGACTTGATCAAGAAACAAGGTTTAGGATATTTCCAGCTACAAGCACAAGCTGGGATTTTTCCTGTGTCTCCCTTAAGCAGGGAATAATGATCTCCAAAGCGTTTAACACTTATTAATCAGAGACTTTGCCACAGGCTAGAGAGGGCTAGGAATCCTCAGAAAGATTTGCCCATTTGAATTGTTCTGCTTGGGACACTCATTTTGCAGTAAGAGTGCCTTCCGTCAGCACAGCTTTGGGGTGCCATGGCTCTGCCTGCAATACGAGCAGCAGCTATGCCCTCAGGTGGTGACGGTGATAAATCTCCTCTCTGCTGGCATGGCACCTTTCTCCCCACACTACCTGGGCACATGATCTACACGAGGGTGATGTGAAGGTGGCTGTGCTGGCTAAGATGGTGGTGTTTTCTGAGCTTGCAGCTTATACCTGTGCCAGTGCAAACTGTTGGATGAAATGAGTAACAGGAACCTTTTTTACTGCCTGTTTGTGTGATGCCTGGCACAATGGGCATGCTGTCACAACAATGGTACCATCATCCTACTGGAATAAAAAGAATTAATAAAGGTTGATCTGTAGGTTTCTTGGAGCACAAAGTATGCCTGAGTAGCTTTGTGGGGAGCAGTACAACTTGCAATTCTGCTAACTGTAGTAGGCGAGTATTCATGAAATTATACACATCCATATGTTACTGTGCTTGCTAGATTTGGCAGGAGGATGGATCCTACCCATCAGAGCCTGTGTTTGTGCCAGTGCCTAGTGCCATGGCAGAAGACAGTGGAGTCATCTTGTCTGTTGTGGTCTCCCCCACTGAGGTAACTTATTACTACTAGTTTGTCAAAGTCACATAGTATTAGGTATGCTTTCTAAACCACAAAACTGAATTTGAGGTGCTCTGGCAGATAATTCTAGCACCGTGCTCCCCAAGGTGTGTGCCTCTGCAACTGCCCAGCACAGCCAGGCAAACTTCAAGTAGGAGTGTACCTTGGAATGTCAGTGTTTCTTGAGTGGCATCTGTGACTATCAGTGCTGCTGGCCAACTGTCTTACATATTTAGTCTGTATGGTCTGGTTGTACATTTGGGCTCCCTTGTGTGCGACAGATGTAGTGGGTTGGGCAGTGAAATGAAGTTCAAAATGGGCATTCACTCTGGCTTGTTTTTCATCCTGCAGAACCAAAGTGCTTTCCTGCTTGTCTTGGATGCAGAGACCTTCAGAGAACTGGGGCGAGCAGAAGTCGCAGTGCAAATGCCTTATGGATTCCATGGCATCTTTACTCCTCACTGACTGAAGAACTTGTCACCTCCTGTAACTCAGGGCCAGGTCAGGCTCAGAAAAAAACCTCTGTTTTCTTTACCTCCCACCTTTGCATTATGCCCTGGATGAAGGAACTGCTTTTTCTCTATCATAACCTCTGAGTTACTGCTGTAGTCCTAACAATATACAGCAAAGGGTCTGAGGAAGGCAGAAGCTTTATCTTAATTTTCTGACTATCTTGATAGACCAGTTAGTAGCAGTTCACAAAGGCTGCCATGCATAAGGCTTGCAAGGGAGAAGATGGAAACCATTACCTTCCCTTGGTAGCAATGCACTCTAAAGGGAAGAGAATATCGGTGCTTAGTGCAGTGACTTTGGCTGAAATGCGAAACAGAAAAGAGGAGTAAAACCAACTAATAACATGTAGGCCCTGTGAAGGGATGTAATTTCACCCCCACTGCATAAAGATTGCCTTCAATGAACTGTGGAAAGTAGATGCAAACACTCACAGAAGCTGTACTTGTAGTGCTTTTCTCTGTACACTAATGGTGCCCTCAAATAAAACCTTCTGAAGTTTCTTCCTTTCTTTCCCTGCCCTCATCAGTCCCATGGCCAACTTAGTGGTGTGCTACAAGAGGCAACAGGTCCAACCTTGACACACACCTTATTACATATATGGTCTTGTAGACATGCACGACTCATCTCCACCGTGCTCCTGCTTAAACAGCATAGCTGGATACAGCTCTGATGGCTAACATTTCCTGCCTTCCAATTCAAGTTCAGTATGAACTCCATTGTGGCCTTGACATCCCTGTGCTCTTAAGCTGAGCAGGTCACACTCAAACACCCTCTCAAATGCTTGTTTCCTCATCCAGGCTCCTACAGTTCTTGAACTCTGAGGTGTAGGTGGATAGGTGTGTTGAGGGAAGCCCTCTATAGCGATTCACTTGCAGGCTCTACCTTTAGGAACACTATGTAAGGTGAAGGCTTCCAGCAGAACGGTTTCCCCTCCTGGCTTCTGGACTTTTCACATTGCTCCATTGTGAGAAGCCTGGAGAATGTTTTGAACCACTTCCTTGAGCAAAAAATGAGCACTTGTTCCCTAGGGTTTGAAGGAAAGCCCATGCTTCCTATTTGTAAACTTGCTTTGCTTTTTTGACTCCTGATGTTCTGGAGGCCAGCCCACACAGAACAGAACCAAATCAAAGCTGACTCACTCTTGTCCAAACAACCCACCTTTATCTCCTCTCTGGCCTTTCTTCACCTTCCTTACAGGTCTTGGAAAAAGACAAGGGAGAGAAGTAAGGGCTGTGCACCAGGGCTGCGGCGCTGTGGGAAGGCAGAGGGAGGCTCATGCCAAAGCTCACGAAGCCGCTAGATGGCAAACGCCTCCCATTGCTGCTGCTCCACCCCTGGCGGTGGGTAGAGTTCTGTCACCATTGCTGCGCTTATTTAAACTACTTTTTTCTTGATGAGGTGGGAGGGGGAAAGGCAGCGTCAGAGGTTCATGTGCGACGTTGTGTTGATTGCACCCAGCCAGAGTACCAAAGGCAGGGCTGTAGATCAATAGTGCAGGGGAAGAAAGATGCCCTCCAGTGCAAAGTCCATGCTGTGTGTTTATAAAGCTGTACTTCAACAGCACGCAATCCTAGCCCCTGCCTGTGCTGTGTCCATGCAGGCAGTAGTCCACTACCTTAAGAGCTGTTTTTAATCCTATTCCTGTTATACAGAGATCCTGCCCTGAGGCTGGAGTTTTCCTGCTCTGACAAACTGGCAGATACCCTCTGTTATCCCTGGGGCACCAAGAATTTCCAGGAATTAAGGGAATATGCTGATGTAGTTACCTCCCTTCGAACCCTTGCAGCACTGAGAAATCCAGGTTCCACCTCCTTTCCCAAAGCTTTCTGAAAATCACACTTTATGGATTCCTTTGCTTGAACTCCATGAATGTTATTAACAGAGTGCACTCCTTCAAGTCTGTCAAGTTCATAACCATCCCAGAGGACAAATTGGTTTGCCAGGATAGAAAGGGAATCAACAGGCCTGGCAGCCCCTTTCTGTGACTGGTGCTGGGTAGGACTTCCGTGTATGCTTGCTTTATCTAAACCATCTCAAATCATGCACGTGACCAGGGATTGGGGCATTCTCAGATGATTAACAGTAGCTCCTCAGATACCACAGTGCTGTGGAATGGACAGAGCACAGTTATTCTAGGTGGGCAGGAATTAGATCCGTGAAGTTCTCTCAGTCCCTGCAGGTGAGTATTGCTTTGCGAGCTGCTTCTCTTTGGATTGCTCCGTAAACATCTTACAAGTGCATTGAGAGCCTGCCAGCTTTTTCTTTGGCAGGCACAGCCCTGTGCGCTGATGCATTTATAGAAACACCTCTTCCAGTTGTCATTAGAAAACATAAGCAAGTCAAATTGTTGGCACACAGGCCAAATCATTGCTAACATTACAGGATGAATGAGAGGATGAAACACCTTGAAAGAGAATGTCAATGAAAAGATGAAAGGCAGGATGCACAAATTTCAGGTCTCTGATCTGGTTCTGCAGCAAACCCCAGTCCTACCCTGTAGAAAGCTCCGCTGTTTTTTGAGCTTGTGTTGTTTCACTGATGCACTTTTCTCAGCGCCCGTCTCAACTCATTCTGTTCTGGGCCTCACATCCACCAGCCCAGATAATGCGAATGAGAAACGTTGATGCAGTCCAAGGTAGTTTTTGTGTGTGTTCTTTAAAGCGGAATTTGAACTAACCTGAAAGGTTAGCTCATCGGTACTCAACGGCATCAATTCTCCCTGTGCCATCGTACCAAGCACACTTGGACACAGATGAACAACAGCGATTTGAACTGGAAAATGCAATGAATGTTTTCCAGTCTCACATTCCGTCCTTCAGAGGTGATCCTTCCCTCCCCTGGAAGCCCATGTAGAAATGTGCAACAGCTGTTTCTTATCCTCATGGTGATTCCTATCATTTTGACTGCTGTTCTGGGAGAGCTTCCAGTGATTTAGTGAAAAGTGAGGTAGTAAACAGCTGGTACAGGAAAGCATTTGCTACAGCAGTTCACCCCGGCGGTCCGTTGGAGCTGCTGTCATACCTTTGCATTTGGTAGGGCTGACGTAGTGGCTCTTAACAG